CCGCTTTTCCGCATGCAGCTCCTCCCGCTGTTGCTATGCGGAGACTTAGAAGTATTTCGAGCTTTTTAAGAAATTTAAGAATCCGAGTTGGATCAGATCAGCTGGATCAGATTTTCAATGGAAAAATTATTTTTATTTTTATAAAAAATGTGAGGTTTGTTTCCAATATAACGAAAAACCAGTGGTTAGTTTTGGCTGCCAAAGAAAAAAATCCGAGTAGTCGTTTTGAATCGTTGACAACAGAGTATACTATTGAAATAAATGACAAGGTTGTCCTCGATGGAGCCAAAAAAGCGCGGGGAACACTATATAGAGCAGCCCAGAGAGCCCCTTCTTCCAGAACGAAACGTCGATGTCATCGTCGTAATTTCAGGAACTCCAACTCTACCACCAGATTTTGAAACGGGTACATAATTCGTGAATTTCTGTGCAACAATGGGAGAGAACTCAACTGTGCAGGAGTGTGAGAAGTTCGTCAGGAAACTGGTATAACTCTTCGACTCACCTTATCCTATACTCCAAAAAAAAAAAAAAAAAAACGGTGGTGTCGGGAGAAAGAATGGAAAGATAGTCAAAATGGAGAGAACTTTTAAGTATCCTAATCCAGAAATAATATTTTCAGACGAAAAAATTTCAAGAAAAGTTCAGCAATTGTGAACCAGGCGTCAAGGACATAAAGGAAGAAGAAGACGACTCCACGGATGTAACTAGTGGTACCCGAATGGGATTTTCCCAAGTTTTAACGTATTTGGAGGCTAAGCTTATCAAGGCTTAGGGTCCAACGCATTTGCAATTGCAATTGGTGAAAATCCTCGATTGCCAACTCTGGGTTAGCTTGTTTTTATGGATGACATTCTGTGGCCGGATTTTCTTGAAACTTTCCCTACGGTGTGACATTGTGTCATTGAAAAACTGCAGTATTTACGTTCTAGTTTAGGTGGCGTGGATCTGGATACCATATTTTAGAAATTCATTTAATAATAAAGTTTTACATTTTCAGTCACGGCAATATTTGGTTTGAAGGGAGTCGAAAAGAAATCAGTCAAGGGTCTTCGGGAGCTCAGCGATTTTATGAACTCTCATCTTCGGGCCATCCGAACCCTTGCCACTATGCACCAATTTTAAATGGATTTGTACCAGAAGAGGAGTGAAAATCGGGAAGAAGATTTGTCTATCGCTGAGCTATCTTCATAAACTGCTCTAGTAGAACGTAGTAGGTAGCTTATGCTATATAAATGAATTGGTTGGGATTATTGGTTGCCAAGTGCTCCCGATTTTCAAAATTGAGTCAGAACCTTCGATTTAATGATGCAAAGAATATGTACCTTTTTCTTAAAACCATGCGCAAGGGCCACCATTTGCATCAGAGTAACTCAACTCATTGCAGACATTGGTCGCAAGAAGCATCACTTTTTATTGTACATGGCCCCGGAACCCTAAGCATCATCTAATTTATTTTCATCTCCATCATCCAACCCACTCTTGAACTCCCAGCAATTGCCATCTACTTTATCAAAAGTATTATGCTACTTATGCTTAAATTTATCATCGCATTCTGATCTTCACCTTGCGCCGGTGCCGATGGACTACGTGTTGCTTCCAACTGCTATAATCTACATAAAAAATAGAGTTGGTTCACTTATGCCTTGCCAAGCTATTTATGCGATTTTGAAAAATTGTGAATTTAAGTTAAGCAAGTACACCTATGCGCGCCTGACTAGGTGCTGGCGATCTGCTCAATCAAGCTTGGTTCTGCATTGTTGGCAACTTCCAACCCAAAAAAATTTCCTCTATAGCAATTATTTTGAAAAACAGACCAGCTCCAATTAAAATGTCAATTTGTTGTAATTTCTTAAAGTGTAGATCAGCGAGTGAAATGATTAGTGGAATCCTTCATCCTGTTGATACTGGGAGTCACAACAGTTGCAAATGACGCACGATAGCTTGCATCCCGTGATTGCGCAAGAATATCCCAGAAATGGGTGTCAGCGATGCGCTTTGGTTGGCTGGCTAGGCGTGAAGTTTTAAAGTTCAATTGAGAACCTGAATCCAAAATAGTTCGAATGTTAGGATGATACTACTGCTGATAAAGTAGATGGTAATTTCTGAGAGTTCAAGAGTGGTTGGGATGATGAAGATGGAAATAAATTAGATGATTTTGAGGGTTCCGGGGTCATGTTCAATAACGAGTGACGCTTCATGTAACAATATTTGCAATGAGTTGACTTGCATTACTTCAAAAGATGACCCTTGTGCAAGCAGTTTAGGCAATGGTGCAACTTCTTTGCTTCTCTAAATCGAAGGTTAGAACTCAAATTTAAAAACCGGGGGCTCTTCGGTAAACACTGATCCCTAACATTGCAATGATAGATTGCGTTGGTAGCAGAAGCATGAATAATCTCTATCCAAGTTTTTCCCAACCTGCTGGCAGGGGGTTTTAGTAACCAAGGCTTCTCCAAGAAGAGCTCCTAGCTCATTAATAGACAAATACTCCTTCCATTTCTCAAGCGTCCTCTGATCCAGCTTGTGAGCGACAATGTGAATAAGAAATCCCTCCGAAATTTATTCCGTAGTGGCCTGGGTTAGGATTGCTCGAAGCTGAGAATTCATATAATCGCTGAGCTCCCGAAGATCTTTGGCATATCCTTCTCCACACCCTTCAAACCAAATATTACCTGTACATGTGCCTGATAATGTAAGACTTTATTATCAAATCGATTTACAAGTATGAGTAATTCAAAGCCTTTTGATAATTTTCATTTGACGGTTCGAGCGAGCGTATGGTTTCCAAAGCCAAGGCACCTTAACCTGAACGTAAGTACTGAAGTTTTTCAGTATCATTTAGATCGTCATAAGGATCCATGAAAACGAGCTGTCTCCAGTGCTCGCAAGTTAGGTTTTCTAGACCGAAAAGAAAGATCTGCGTTATTTGTTATGTCCAGATATGTAGAATTGACAGCTATGGGACCAGCAAATTTTAATTTACGTTGGGCTGCTAAGTATCGATTTAGCTTAGCCTCCACATCCATGACGGCTTCGGAAAATTCCATTCTCGTATAACTCGTGATCTCCAATAAGTCTGTGCGGAATCAAACGCCAAGTTTTGAGAATCGATTTATTTCAACCGCGCAAGAATATCAATTTCATCATACTGTTCAATATTTTTACCCACCAAATAACTTCTCGACGCGATAGTTTGCCACAAAATTGATTCTCGTTCTCCAAATTAGGCCTTTTATAAATCACACAAAAAAAAAAAAAAAACACCGGTAGCACTCCGGGAGTGCCGGCAGAAGTGAAAACTTCAATATTAACGTTGTGTTTAATTATAAGTATAAAAGTACTATCATTTATGAGGTAGAATACAATGTTTATTTATTGCGCTATCGTACACAAATATGACAATTTATATGTTGTTATTTTTAATATTATATCGTTATTTATATATTACATTAAATTTTATCTCTCAGAAAAATCAACTTCCATCCATAATTTCGACGACTTTTACACCATCGTTATTATCAGAACCATCATCGAAAATTTTCACAACTGATACAATTGGTGTATGATAACTGAAGTAAGAAACAAACAGTTTTGATTCGAACCTATTTAAGTGTAAGTACAAGGTAGTCTCGTCGGCTTTTTTTCTCCCCTATTGGGTACTACAATGAGTGCGAGTGAGAGGGTGTTTTCCCGTAAGTGCGAAAGAAACAGAAGAAGATGATGTCGTTTTACCCTTATGCTGTGCACGGGGTTTAAAAAGGACTGTTATATGACCATGAGTATTAATTTTTCCGAAATTTTCGATTTTTACACAAAGCTGCCCTTCAGGACTCGCTTCCATATTGTTCACATTTCAAAATATTTTTCTGCAATATTACATGTTACGCCTTGTATGTGCTTGCTGCAATAATTGCAACAAGTATTTTTCACAAGCACACAAGGGTTAACGTTTTGAGAAAAAATCGTCCGCGGACAACCTCTCACTTCAAAATCCCGAGCGCTCTGAACCATAGGGGGAAAAAACCCGAGCGATTTTGCAGCCGACGAGACTACCTTGTATAATTGTACCATGACTCAGGCACGGTAGAAAGAGTGGGAGATACTAGTTCCTCTCCCTTCCCCTCGATCTTACGCTTTTTCGATCAGCATAACGGGACCCTGACGCGAGTTTGAAAGTTTTTACCCATACAAAAAAGTGCTCAGCGCCGCTAAAGAAGTTTTCACTTCAAAAATTAAACGTAAATGCCTGAACGGGTTCACAATTCACGAAACGCACTGTAGTTCTAAAGCGCGAAAATTTAAAGACACCAAGTGTCACATAAAAGTTACGGGACCTTTAAATTCATTGTTTTTGTCCCTGCACAAGTTTTGCCCGCTATATAAAGGTAGCTTTAAGCTCCGAAGATGGCAAATAATATTTTTTCAATTAATCCTATTCATAGCTTTTGTTATTTTATCAAGGGTCGCATTTTAGATGTCTTCCCCACAAACAGTAAGTATCGGGTCTTGCAATAAAGTTTTGTTTAAAAAAATTGTTAAAAATGTATTACTTTAATAGTTTTAAATAAAATTGGAAATATTTTGTCAAGCGTTATAATAGTGTTTTATAAATGTATTAATTATACGTTGGAAGAATACGGGAACGAAAATTGCGAAACTCTGACTTCTACAAAGCAGATCGATATTACCTTAATTTAATTGTAAACAAAAAAAAAAACGACAAAAATAAAATAGGTTTCACTAAAAATAAATAACCAATTTGTAAGCATTAGCAGAATATTTATTTGTGTTAATTTCTAACTTTTTAAGAGGTTACCAAAAAAAAAGGTTACCTTCGCTAGTGGTATGCGATGCCATGGTTAATGTGAGCGTCAAGAACTGGAACTTGGGTGGATGATGTTCTGTGGGAATACACTATTATTCTGAGGTAAAGTGTGGTATTAATATATTCATTTAACGTTTTCTTTCCAAAATTTCTAGTCATTCATAATTATTACAACTAAAATTGACTTTTTGACTGAAGTCACATTAATATTAAAGTTTCAATTGTGCTAATAGTTCCAAGCAATGTAACTATTTGACTTGGCATTTTTTAAACTTTATCTCTAGTAAAGTAAGTGCCGTTAAATGAAATATTTGATTTCAAGTCAACTTACTGTCATTTTTTGTGAAGATACAATTATGTGATCTTATTATTTGGTACTTATGTATATATATATATATATATATGTATACCAAATCTGCACTCCAAATTAAAAACTGTTGTATGTAACACAAATAGTTTTCGTTGAATTTTAGAAAATGTTAAAAAAAACGATAAATAAAAAGCAACTCCAGATAAAAACTCATTGATTACAATAATAAATGAAAGCAGCTTTTATATACTTGCAAATTGGAAAAATAATCACGATGCCGATGCAAGTTAGATCGCTTCAAATGATGTTTTTTGAGTTCGAAATGCAAAAACGTCAACCAATGAATGTACAAGACAACCTAAACGTTGGAGTTAAAAAGTAATTCAAAAAATAATTATTTTTACCGCACTGCAACGCTATCGTTCGAAACAAGTTCATTACTATTGTTTAAATTTACTATCAAAATCATGAAGTTACTAGAGAGTTCGAGATTTGAAGCCATCAACAACGCACTTTCGATACAAACAAGTGGAATCACAATCTTTGGTCGCATAGAAAGTTACTCGTGGTAGGTGTTGCAAATTACATTTAACGATTTTAAAGTTTGTTTTATTTTAGCAAAATGGTTGCAGCTGAGAAAGTATTGTATAAACGATTTACGGCAGATACTCATGGCCATGACCTTCAAGCGTTATCACCACCCCAAACTTTGGCAGACTTTTCGCCTAACTTTCGTCAAAACAACAGTCAATCCGGGGATGAAGGCATTACTCTTTGTGATACCATATCTAGAAAGACTTTGTTCTACTTAATTGCTACATTGAACGCGTCGTTTGAGCCAGATTATGATTTTTCAGAAGCCAAGGTAAATACTTTATACCAGTTAGATATGCTGATAATTTTATTATTTTTTTTTTAAGTCCCATGAATTTAGCAAAGAGCCATCTTTACAGTGGGTAATGAATTCAATCCACTCAAATCTTTCGGCATTAGCGGGAGATCAATATCAAGTTATACGCCAGCCTCTATGGTCTGCTGTCGATGACGAAGTTAATTTATCAGAATGTGACATTTACAGTTATAATCCAGATTTAAGTTGTGATCCTTTTGGTGAACCGGGCTGTTTGTGGTCGTTTAATTATTTCTTTTATAATAAGAAATTAAAAAGGATTGTTTTTTTCACAAGTCGTGCAGTGAAGTATGTATAACACTTTGTTTTGCTATATAAATTCATACAGCTTACTTTATTTTAGCTCTCTTTATGCTGCTGAAACATCGGACTTTTCAATGGAAGAAGATGTATATTAAAACAGGTTTCCGTCTATTTCACACAATTTTATAAAGCAGAAAAGTGGGTTATAATATCCCTCATTCTATCAAAAGTTTATTTTTTAAGTTTAATACCGTAGTCTATCTTATAAGATCAGTGCATATTTAAAAATTTTTTAGTAATACCACAAACAAAATAATATAACAAAAAATTATTTAAAAAAAAAAAAAATAAAAATGTGCTTGTATAAATAATAATAATATTATATAGACGTTGTTCAAAACTGCCTTTACAAAAAGATATTTTTAATATATTTGCGATGTTTTTAATATGGCTCAAACGGCAGGTGAAAACATTTTTAGTTTTGTATGCGAAAAGTTTTCAGCCATCAGCTACAGAATTGGGGCACCTGATTGACGCAGTCAGATCTTTATAGGACGATTTGTTGTCTATTAGCGATGACAAACAGATTGCGAATATCATACCCATTCATTTAATAATAAAAAGTAAATAATAATTACAATTCCTCTTCCTCTTTGGAGCGAATGTAAGTCCGCAATGGACAGGCGATACCAACATATATGTACACTAGAATTTTTCAAAAATAATTTTTCTTCTATTTTTAATGATTTTTTGAAAATGACTAGAAATACGCATTTCAGCCATATTTTTCTCTTTTCCATACAAACTTTCCGACATTGTCACCTTCAAAAAATCATTAAAAATAGAAGAAAAATTATTTTTGAAAAATTCTTTTTGCAGTTCCTATTATTTTTGATTAAAGAAACTTTTTGCATCCAAAAATTTTAGTTTTGAAGCCGAGGGAAAAAGTTTTTTTTTACTTTTTTTTTTAAATTGCCCTTTTCAATAAATATCGAATGAGTTGAGAAAAGTATGGTATCATTCAAAAGGCATTTGAATTACCTTTCCATTGATACCAAAAGTTAAAAGAAGCAAGTTCAGGTTTCGAGTATATTTCACTTTTATTTTGTCAAAATATATATGGCGGCTAGTGTATATGATCGCCGAAGAATACAGCCCAAAACAATTCAGCAAAGCTAATCTTATCCTAAGAACTTCTGGAAACAGAAGTTTTTCGTTTGACAATGACGGGCAGAACCGTTTCCTTTGCATGTTATGCAACTCACCAGAGGTTTGATTTTGGCCTTATGAATTAACTGACTTCGCAGGGGCCATTCCCTTGGTTAAAGAGTTAAAGAAGCAATTTGGCGACATGTAAGCCCATCAGACATTCCGTCTTGAGGATGTGACGATGAGCTCTTTACGTCCATTTGGCTCGCTATACTGTCCTTTTTACTCGACTCAAATTATGTGCCATGTAAATTTACACCTCGTACTACCTTCAGACGTCTTGTCTAGGGAGTTACGCCAATCGTCGCTTACTCTTGTTGCTCCACCAAGCCAAGCCAACTGAATTTTGCGATCGGGAATTTTGTGGAAGTTATTTAATCTCACGGATTTGTATCAAAGAATATTCAAAAACAAAATCGTTGTGTTGTGGAATATAAATTAGATAAGTGCTCTTCGGCATCGCTAAGGTCATATTCCATGTGAAGATAAAATCCTGTTGTTGCAAACGAAAAGCTTACAGTTACGTTGAACTTACATATCAATACGAATTGCCACGCTGATCCTAGAGCTCTCTTAAGTATTCTGCGAAAATAAATATTCCTGCTCAACGTTCAGAAAGTATGTCGTAAAATCGTTCGTTTGTGCATGCGCTGCTTTTAAAGTATTTCAGATGTGGTCTTTTAATAGTTTTCATTTTCACTAATTGTTTCTATGACTGCTATATGATATAGTCGTTCGATTTTTAAATCTTGTATGCTTGTATGATATAAATCTACGATGTTATAATTTTAATTCTGTTACTGTTATTGTTTACGAACTTGTGTTTCACTTATTTTTATTCTTCTCTTTATCGCTACGTCATCTCGCTTCATGATGTTGATAGTGGAATATGTTAATATATTTACGTTTCTTAACCAATTCCAACATATAATTGTCATATGAATAGCAATATTATTGGTGACGACGTAACGGTGAACTCTTGCGTCTTTTTGGTTCCTAGTCATCTTTGTCATCTTCTTCATCCTTTAATTTCCTTTAATGTTTCTCATGAGTCCTCTTCTCGAAAGAGTGGATCAAGTTTGTGAATTGTTCGTCACGTCAGCTGTATTCATCTATAAAATACGAACAACTGGCCATTAAAGCGTTGGTTTGATATTAAATCGATTGGTGGGATGGGATTCTTATCCAACTGTAAGTGATTTGTGTCCTTGGGGGGTAAGGTTTTAAAGGCCAAAAAAAGGGCCATGTTTGATTTTTTTTTTTTGTGGCGAAATGAGTAAGATTATTTTATTGAGCTTATTGGAAAAAGAAGATTATTAAAAAATATTAAGAAATAAGCCTGTGGCGGTTAATCTTCCGAAGCGCCTAAAGAAAAAGTTGTTTTGCGGTGAACATCATAGGGCGTTAACGGATCATCTTACAAAAAAAAGGTGATATTCGTTTTAAAGATAATGAATTTCCCCGAGGCAATCAGTTTTTTTTAAATTTTTTTTTGTCTATTTTTGGGAGCACTTGAAAGTGAAAAGTGCGATTGTAGCTTAAAAATCGCTGTTTATTTATTTTTTAAAAATAGAAAAAAAAATTTAAAAAAAAAAAAACTCTTCCTGATTACCTGCGTATTTATATTGAGAATTTGTGTTAAAAATTTGAAAAGGATTGGTTCAGTAGATTTTGAGTTCTGATGTTCACCGACTTTCAAAATACCGTTTTAGGGAAAATCGATTTAAGGTATTTTTATACGTGAAAATACGTCCAAATATGGTAGTTTAAAACGCTGTAACTACGTTAGTTTGACTCTAATTGACTCAAAATTTTTACACAATGTTCTCGACATATTGGTCATTCAGAAAAAAAAAAAAAAATGTAAAAAATTTTTGTTTGAAACCTTACCCCCCCTTAATATGGTTGGTGACTAACTCCCATCTGTTGGGTGATGAGCCCCATATGGGGCCGTCCATAAACCTCGTGACGCTAATTTTTGTCTTTTTTGACCCCCTCCCCCCTCTATGTGACGCATCACATATACAACTTACAACCTCCTTACAACAAAGCGTGACTCTCTGAAGAACCCCCCCACCCCCCTAGGAGCGTCACGAGGTTTATGGACGGCCCCTATGATGCCCCATACCGTTCTGACTAAATGTATTCCACGGGTAGGTATTCGTCGGCACAGGTCTTCCACCGGTTGGCTTGTGGAAGAAAAGCGTTGTGGAGGAAAAGCGTTTCATCCCCTAAAACATCATGAAACGTTTCTCTGGCGGATTTGGATCGAAGGAAAACTTTAAAAAGCGCGAATTTCGGTTTTAGTTAACTCTATGCTTGTATGTCTATAGCTTTTAAATGTAATATCCAAACTAATCATGTATAGCGTCGGTCAAGACCTTTCAAAATATACAAGAACTGTAGCGTTTTGTACATAGCCGCGAAATTCAAAAGAAAAAAAGGCGGAAGGGAGATACGACTATATAAGGGAACCTTCCCTGCTGATGTTGGGTAATAATCGTTCGGAGGTTTTTTCTCTCTTCGTCTTAAGTTGCAGGAAAAATAAGTTCTTTTAAAACATTTTGGTCCTTAATACTGGCGAAATTAGACCAAGAGTTTCAAAGATTTCACCTACTACAGATCCAAGGCTACCACTTTTTCCGTAATTATGGGAGTTTTGTGCTGTGCCACACAAATTTTCAGCTTTTGGATTCCATACTATTCCTAATATTTTTACAGTGGCATGCTCCAACGCAGTGTCCAGATTAAATTTGACGTCTTCAGGTGATTCCTTTTTAACAGGCGGGCGGTACGTGTTAGAACATGATTTTTAGAGTTTAAAGACACGTGGTAAGATTATTTTATACAGTTCATCTCGAATATTGGCTGCGTCATGAATCAATATTGATTCTTTTCATAGCACTTTGATTTGCCGTTTTTACTATCTTCTGCCTCGCCAGTTTAGATTTAATTACTAAATATTAGAGGTGGAGAACTATCGATGGCACTATCGGGACTATCGATACGCAATCGATAGCTGCGCGCACTCTCGATACGCAATCGATAGCTGCGCGCACTCTCGATAGTGGTCAATTGCTATCGTCGATTGTTGTCGATATTTTGGTTTTCCCATGTCTACGTTAAAAGTGTAAAGGAAAGGAAATTGCGCGAATTTGTTACAGAGTTTTATAAATTGTTATTAAAAACATAATGGATCTTTTTCTTCAAATAAGTAAGATATTGTTATTTTGTTGTTATATTTTTAATTTTGTATTATAAAGTTAAAAGCCAAATTTTGTATGACAATAACAAAAGTGCTACGTGAGATGCCATTACTGCTATTACGGTTTGTTGTGAAATACATACGCATATATACATACATGCGTTTCTTTTTCACAAAGATAAATACATTATAATAAAAGTATACATTAAATTAAAGGAAAACGCCGAACATATATAAATTTATAGAAAGCAGTTAAGGTAAGCCTAAAAAAACAAAATCATATTATTCGAATAATAATTATTTATTCTTTTCAGATAAATATTGGAAAACCAATGTCATACATTATAAATAAATACTTTATATATAAATAAATATCATTAGAAACACTAATTAAATTATATTTTTTGAGTGTACTCTGCACTATCGACAACTATCGACGATAGATTTTCTTTGCTATCGCCGATAGTCGATAGTTTATGAAAACTATCAATATTTAGGCCACGTTGTAGGACGGGGAACTATCGCCACCGATCCAGATAAACTTTCAGCCATTGTAGATTTTCCAGAACCACGTTCAGTCAAACAGCTTCGCAGATTTTTGGGTATAAACGGGTGGTACCACAAATTTATAAGAAACTATGCCACCGTCGCTTCACCTTTAACAGATGCTCTCAGACAAAAGAGAAAATTTGAATGGTCCACTGAGGCGCAAAATGCGTTTGAAGCTCTCAAGAAGAATATGTGTGAGGCACCGGTTTTACATAGCCCAAATTTCGAGGAACCTTTCTTTATACATTGTGACGCCAATCACACTGGAATCGCGGGAGTTTTGGTTCAGCTAAGCGCTGAAGGTGATGAAGTACCAATTGCCTTCATGTCTCGTAAGCTGAATCAATGCCAAAGAAACTATTCCGTAACGGAGAAGGAATGTCTGGCCGCGATTATATCTATAAAGAAATTCCGAGTGTACGTTGAAGGCCATAAGTTTACCGTGGTCACAGACCATGCGTCGTTAA